TAGAACTATCTCAGTAGACCAGGCTGGCCTTGAACTCACAGAGATCGGCCTGCCTCTGCCCCCGAGTGCTGGTGTTAAAGGCATGCGTGTTAAAGGCATGCGCCACCACTGCCCAGGTCAATGTGTATTTCTTATGTATGCATGTGCCGGAGATGGCAAAGCATAGCCCCCTCCATGTGTGGTTTCTGAGGCAACCCAGGGCAGTTAAATGAGCGTGTTACTTGAGGGCCAAGGAGAAAACACCTACGTGCCCCAAGAACTGCTTTCATGGCATCTGCATACGCACTTGACATGTTACAGATGACTCTGGTTATAGCAATTCTACTAGTGCACTTGTTCTTCATGTTCTTTTTCTCCTTCCACACCAGTGGCTTCTGAAAGTATGGATGTGCTGTATGATAGTACGAGGCCTCCTGACCTGACAGAGCGGGCAGGCATCGAAGCTGTAAAGTAGGCTAAGGGGAAAACCTGGCTGATGAGAAAGAACTGGGGAAACACAGAAATTGTCCTTTGCCTGATTATAAAACTTGGCAAAAGAATTATAATGAAACAGAAAGGAACTTGGCTATGATGAATGAAGTTTCTGAGAACTCAGGACTTTTAGGGTTGACTGCCTATGTCCTTATAAATCAAAACTGGAGTTGTGAGGAACAACAATGGGAAGGGGATGGCAATGGAGTGAAATCCACTGAACTCTGCCTCTGTGACTGAAGGTAGGTGGCCTCTGAGGTGAAAGCCTCAGAAGTTGTTTTATGATTAACTCAGCCAAGAATTAAGAATATAGTGGTTGGTATGGGGCTTGGGAGCTGGGAAAATATCACGATGAATGATGTTTTGATTTCAAAGACTCCTTGTACTTCTTGGCTGCTCTGCCCGTGTGATGATTAACCTGTGGCAACAATAAAGAATCATTTTCCTGGTGTAAAATTCACAATAAAAGACTGAAGCTCGGGGTAGAAGAAGAACCTGTCCTGCAGCTGGTAGCCTGTCAGCTTGCATCAGAATTCTGTGTTCGTGTACTCACTTCGCTTTCCAAACATCCCAGATTTGAGACCTGCTTCTCTGCTGAGACTGGTCCCTGACATGTGTGTATACATATGTATACATAGATGTATAAATAGATGTATGCAGAGGAATATAAAGAAACAGAAACAGAGTCAAAGAGAGTAAGGTGTATAATTATTTTATCTACCTTTAAGTCTGCAAAAGTCAGCCACTATGGAAATCAATATGGCGGTTTCTCAGAAAACTGGGAATCAGTCTACCTCAAAACCCAGCTATACCAATCTTGGGCATATATCCAAAAACTGCCCAACACACCACGAGGACACTGGCTCAAGTATGTTCCTAGCAGCTTTATTTGTAATATCCAGAATCTGGAAACAACCTAGATGCCCCTCACCTGAACAGTGGATAAAGAAACTGTTGTAGCCGGGCGGTGGTGGCGCACGCCTTTAATCCCAGCACTCGGGAGGCAGAGGGAGGCGGATCTCTGTGAGTTCAAGGCCAGCCTGGTCTACAAGAGCTAGTTCCAGGACAGGCTCCAAAACCACAGAGAAACCCTGTCTCGAAAAACCAAAAAAAAAAAAAAAAAAAAAAAAGAAACTGTTGTACATGAACATAATGGAGTACCGATCAGCTGTAAAATTAATGGCATTATGAAATTCGCAGGCAAATGGATGGAACTAGAAAAAAATCATCCTGAGTGAGGTAACCTGGGCCCAGAAAGACAAACACAGCATGTACTCACATTATTAGGGGATATTAGCTATAAAGGAAAGGATAACAGACCCAGCAAGGGTAAGTAGCAAGGAGGGTCCATGGGGAAAATACATGGATCTCCCTGCGAGGGAAAAACAGAAGAGATCTCCAGGGCGGACTGGCGAGGGTGGGCATGGGAACTCGGGGGATAGGTCTGGGGTGTGAAGGGGGAGATCACTGAAAGAGATGGCCGAAAAGGGGGACTTTCAGGGAAACTCCCACGAGTCTACAAAGACGACCCCAGCTAAGCGATACTGAATACGTAGCCTGAACTGACCATCTCCTGTGACCAGAGTGGTAACTTCCCCAATTGTCATCAGAGAGCCTCCATCCAGTAACTGATGGAAACAGTAGCAGAGACCCATGGCAAACATTGAGCCCAAGCTCAGGGAATCCTGCTGAAGAGAGAGAAGGATTGTAGGAGTCAAAGGGATCAAGGACATCACAAGAGAACCCACAGAAACAACTAACCTAGCTCATGGGAACTCACAGAGTGTGAACCAACAGCCAGGGAGCCCTCTACACATATATGGTTGTTGTATAGCTCGGTCTACTGCAGGACTCCCAACCGTGGGAGCAGAGGCTGTCATAAAGCTCTGGCTAGCTCTTGGGAATCTATTCCTCATCCTGGATTGCTTTAGCCTTAATATAGGGGGGTGCTTTGTCTTATGGCCACGTGATATACCATGCTCTGCTGATACCCATAAGAGGCCATCCCCTTTGGAGCAGAAATAGAGGAGGAGTGGACTGGGGGAAGGGGAAGAAACAGGAGGACAGGAGGGAGGGGAAACTGTGGTTCCGATGTAAAATGAATAAATCAATCTCTCTCCTCTCTCTCTCTCTCTCTCTCTCTCTCTCTCTCTCTCTCTCTCAGCTAAACTCCAAAACAATGAACTTTTTCAAAAAATGTGTAATATGAGCCAGGCTTGGTGGTATAAGCTTTTAATCCCAGCAACCAGGAGTCTGGGGCACGTGGATCTCTTTGAGTTTGAAGCCAGTCTGGTGTTTATAGCAAGTTCCAGGACTACCAGGGCTACATAGAGAGACCATATCTCAAAAAACAAGAAATAAAATCTATAATATACCTATCATATAAATCAGAAATGGTCTTGGTGCATCATAAATTAGTGGTTCCTTAAGAATCAGAGACTTGCTGGGCAGTGGTGGCACACACCTTTAATCCCAGCACTCAGGAGGTGGAGGCAGGCGGATCTCTGCGAGCTCAAGACCAGCCTGGTCTACAGAGTGAGTTCCAGAACATCCAGTGCTACACAGATAAACCCTGTCTCAGAAAACTAAATTAAAAATTAAAAAAGAACCAGAAAGGGCTGGAGAGATGGCTCAGAGGTTAAGAGCACTGGCTGCTCTTCCAAAGGTCCTGAGTTCAATTCCCAGCAACCACATGGTGGCTCACAACCATCTGTAATGAGGTCTGGTGCCCTCTTCTGGCCTGCAGGCATACACAGAGACAGAATATTGTATACATAATAAATAAATAAATAAATATATAAAAAAAAAAAGAACCAGAAAAAAAAGGTGGGGGCTGGAGAGATGGCTCTGTGGTTAAGAGTGCTGACTGCTCTTCCAGAGGACCCAGGTTCAATTCCTACCACCCACGTGGCAGTTAACAGCTGTCTGTAACTCCAAGATCTGACACCCTCAGATAGACATGCATGCAGGCAAAATACCAATGCCAATAAAATAAAAAATAAATAAATAAATTATTAAAAAAAAAAAAGAACCAGAAACCGATGCAACCAGAATGAATGAGAAGCAGACATGTAGGAATGGCTTCTGTGGAAATGGAAGTAGCGTTATATTTTTACAGGGGCATAGCCATGTGATTTAAGAGTGTGATAACATTGGTAGTTTTCTCATTAAGAGTATAAGAAAGGGAGCTAAGTATCAGGCCAGACATCTACATGTCTGTGTCCTTTTCAACACCTCAAAGGAGGGCCTCAGCAACAGAATTAAAATGTCGAGAAAGATACAAGACTAGGAGTGAACAGACATAGTAATCACATGTGTGACGATGTGATACACGTGACCGTCTACCTGGGCACCAGAGAGAACAGGATGAAAAACTGTGCACACAGAAGAGCTTAACATGTGTTCCAGTGACACCGTGCAATCATGCCCAAAGCAACAATTTTCTTCAGTACCAGCAGCAACCAAACTAAGCGAGTCATTTTTCCACAGTGTCTTTATTCATAAAATAACATAAAGATACAGTTGAATTCCTCATGCATTTCCTTCCTGTTTCACCAAACTTGTTCCAGTCCCCTGCCAGGTCTTTGCAGTGTTCTATTCCCACGCATGTCTTTTATGTTACTCTGTGTATATGTCCTTAAAACTGCGGCTGTCTCAAAATAAGAATTAAGGTATATGTGTACTATTTTTCTCCTTGAAATCTTCATATAAATCTATGTTCTCTACAGGGTATAAATGTGTATGTGTGCCGCTCTGTAACTTGATCTTCCCTCTTACACCGTCATACTTTCCAAAGTAAGATGTTAAATGTGTGTATGGAATTGTTCCCATTGTCTAGAATGTTGTCTAGAAGTTGGCTAAATACTTCTAATATCCATTGTTTCCTCTGGGAATACATATGGTGAGTAAAAAAGAGAATCTCAGAGAACACACGGGTCAAAGACAAACAGCACAGCGGGAGCACAAAGTGCCTTGGAAAACTGGAAATCACCTTAATACCCTCAACAAGAAAGCAAGTAAGTAAAGTACGGCGTATCTACTACACAAAGATTATTTTACAGTCAGTGAAAAGAATTTAGTAAATCTATGTTCAGTGGCACAGAAAAATCCCCAAGACAAAGGAAAATGCAAACAGCATGGTCTTCTTTATGCTGCAAAATAAACCTGTCCTTAAGACCTTCGGGGCTAACAGTGAGAAAACGGGAGCCAGAGGAATGCAATGTCAACCTGCTGGTTTACAAACCTTCCACATGTCAGTGTCATCCTAGAATGACTGAGAGAGTGGGGGCCCTTTTCATAAGTGAGCAAGCGGCTGGAGGAGGTGGAGGGGTGCAGCTAATGCCTGGGGTCAGACTCTGTTAAATGAGAATATATTCTTATGGATTCTAGACAAAAGAAAAGAGCGACAGGAAGACGGACAAAGGACCACTTCCCAGAGCACGCAATCCAGCAACACCCAAGTCTCCCTTGGCATTTTTCTCACTTTGACTGGACACATAAGAGCAGGCGGCCCCGGGCGAGACACTTACTGACAGCCTTCAGGGTTTTTGTTCGGAAGTGACACCCTCGGAAGTTCAGGCGCAGCACGGTTAGACGCCACTTTTGCAAAGTAGTCACTACACACTTATCGGCGATGTTTTTCGATGTGGAAAAATCAATCTAGAAAGGATAAATAAAAAGCATTAAGAAATAAAATGTATTTCAAACAAAACTTCTAAAGCACCAAATACTAGAAGCTCTCCATGGCATCGTTTCCAAACAGCCGAAGAGACTAAAGGTTGGAGTTCTCCAATACACAGATCTCACAAAATAAGGACTAAACTTGCAAACGTACTTCCAAAAGGGCTGGGTTTGACCAGAGGAAACTCTGAACGTGTGTTTTCAAGCTGGGGATCGAGCACTCTGTCATTGGACCATACATCCGTGTCCATGCAGCTCAGTGCCTCTGTGAGTTAAGACACAGAAAGCCAAAAACAGTGAGACTTCATATGTCAAGAAGCTGGGAGAGCTCAGAAAATTTATAGCAGCAAGTATTCTTTAATTCCATATACTTCTGTGATTGTCTGTCAATCCAGTATTTGCCCTGACCCGTGAGAACTTGCAATCACATGCATATATAAAAGAATTAGGAGCAGAGATTTAAGAGCAAAAGGTGACGACCTAATGTCTTCAATGAGACTGGGAGATACCCGGAGAAAGTGCACACGGCAGAACACTGGGCAGGGCAGAAGAACACTCTACAGCAAACCAGCACCTAAACCTTCACAGCCCAACTGTGCTACCCTCTAACTCAGTTCAGGGTCAAAATTCCTTACCTAGGAATTTCAGGATAAACTGTTTTCATGAACATTACTTGATACCGTTCTTTTGATGAGAGATGTTTCTCAGAACTCGGGAATCCACTTTAAAACCTGGAGAGCAGGGTCCTGTGCCACAATTAGGGGCAGGGCAGGTGGCAGGTGAGCAGTTTGCTCATTAATGTTTAGTAGTAAGGTGCACACCTGTGGTCAACCACATTACGGTTTGAGTTCTAAGCCAGGTACTTACTAACTCATTTTTCTCCCCTGGACTCGGACTGGGCAGCGGCCAGGCGGCCAGGCACTAGGTACGAAATCTGTTAAACTCTCTTACAGAAGCTGAGGAGCGAGCAAGGTGCCAGCAGCTGTAGACAGGAGTCGGCTCCGTGCCCACGCACCCACCAGGCCACCACCCAGTCCCGATGTTTATGTGACAGCTGTTTGGGAAAACTCAAAGAGAAAAGCGGATACAGATGCTCTGGAGGATTAAAAAAGTAGCACAGACATTAAAGAGTGACCCTGCATTAGCCCGGCAGGAACTAGAAAAGGCCAGCACTTTCGCCCAGAGTCGAGCGTGTTCTCGGGTTCTGCCTCCTCTTCTGCGGTCTCCGTCTGTGTTCAAGCGTGGCACAAGGAGTCTGTATAAACGCCTGTTCCCAACAGTTCTGCATGCCCAAGGAAAGGCCTTCTCTGTGTCAGAACTAGCCTTACAGTTAGGAGGTGGCCATTACAGTTCATACGCTCTAAAAGAGCCCCCTGCCCCAGCGATGGAGAGATGGTTTAGCAGTTAACAGCACTTGCTGCTACCCCTGCCTCAGCGATGGAGAGATGGTTTAACAGTTAAGAGTACTTGCTGCTACCCCTGCCTCAGTGATGGAGAGATGGTTTAACAGTTAAGAGTACTTGCTGCTCGTCCAGAGGAGCTGGCTCACAACCAGCTATAACTCCAATCACAAAGGATATAATGCCTTCTTCCTGCAGGCTCCAGGCATGCATGTGGTGTGTAGACACACATGCAGGCAAAAATACCCATACACATAAAATAACTATAAAACTAATAATAAAGAAAAAATTTTCTTTTTTTTTTTTTCCAGACCGGGGATGGGGTGGGTGTTATGTAGCTCTGGCTGTCCTGGAACTCACAGAGATTTACCAACCTGCCTCCTGAGTGCTGGCATCAAAGATATGCACCGTCATGCCGAGCTCAAATTTTTCCTTCTTAAAAGTTTTCTTCCTCACAGTCAAGAGCTCAGCATAGAGTCTGTGCTCATCGGCAGAAACAAGAACACAAATAAAGAAACAAAAATGAGAGGCACCTTATCCAACAAAATGGGGCTTTGCTTCAATCTGAGAATAATGTCCGACGGACATGTCCTGCCACTTAAATTTTAAAGCACAGATGTATCTCTTAAGATACTGTTATTGTCTATTTTTACCTCTCCCTCCAGGTTTGTGCTGATAAAAGCCACAACAAACCAAAAACACAAACAAGAAGCATTTACGGCTGGTGGTCACAGAGAAGGAGGAGGGGCATGAATAACGCAGCATTTCCACGGGGCTTTCCAGGAGCCCATTCCCGTCTGGCTTTGAGGAGAACCACGCCTTCCGGCACGTCTACTTACCGCACTCCACAGGAAGCCCCTGTGTGTCAGTGCCATCCAGGATCGGTTCACCTGACCGCACGTGATCGTCTCTCTAAAGCTGAGGTACGAGAAAATCTAAACGTAGAGAAAAGAGACATCGTTTTGAGTGATCTATGAATTTTGGTGTAGATCTTCCACTGTGTGTGCTAGTAATGACATCATCATCCATATACCGGAAAAGTGGACATTTAAGGGCTAGAGTTGTATCCCAAGGGAGGAATTTTATCTCAAGTCTAAGAATTCACCAGTGATGTAATGTCATCCCTTTCTGAAGACGTGCTGTGTGCCACATGTCTTTTGTTCTTTGCTCTTTCTTTCTTCTGGTTTGATCGGAGACAGTATCTCACTGCGTGGCTCTGCTTAGCCATGGGCTCTGCTCACACAATGGACTGAACAGAGCCCCGTATGGAACTCTATAACACAGTCTCTCATCTTAGTTCACAGTATTCTGACTGTGGAGCTGCAAAGTATGTATAAGGAGTTGGAAATACGGTCACGTGTTTCTTCAAATTGATACCCGGAAGGAGACAATGAGAAAGAAGATGGATCTATTCGCTAAGATGCACTGGGTTTTCCTAAAGCTGTGGTATCTTGGGAAAACTCAATAAACCCATCTGGTTTCTATCTCTGGAAAAATAGTAGATTGGAAAAAAAATATTCTTTGTACAAAACATCAATGTATACTAAAGCAAATTTTAAACCCAACTTGATTTTTTTTTTTAAGTAAAGAGTCTTGAGGCCCCGAATCTGCATAACCCCAGGCTGACAGCTATCTGGAGAGGCAGTGGGAAGGAGACCCCCTTTCATAACAGACGAGTTCCGTGAGCCTACACAGGCACGGGAGAGGCTCACCAAGCTTACAGCGGACGTGCACACACTGGGTACTATAGTGCCATTGCAATAAAAGAAGCAAAAGTGAAGCCACTCAATGAATTGGTGAGCAAAGACCTTGCCTATTAGAGCCATGTATTGATACATCTGAAATTTATGACCTCTGCCGCTGGACTTGATGCTTCAGCATGTGCCAGTGGTCCCAACTGAAGATATCCCTGAGGTATCGTTCAGAGAGAAATCATGTTTTCCCAGCCTTACACGACTGCCACACATTAAACCCAAAGAAGATGAAAAGCTAACCAAAAACTGTCGAATGTGAGGGGGGGAAAAAACCTAACAAAGGTGAACAGAAAGGTGGTAAATACAGGGAGGATGACATTCTTGAGAAGGATATTACAAAAAAAAAAAAAACTTAACAGGAGCTGGAGGGGCGCGTCAGTGGCTGAGAGCCCTGGCTGCTCTTCCAGGGGACCTCAGTTCAGTTCCCATCACCCACATCAGGCAGCTCACAGTTGTAACTGCAGCTTGTGGAGGATCCACACTCTGGCCTCTGTGAACATGACCATGTGTATACACACACACACACACACACACACACACACTAAATAAATAAACCTGAAAAAAATAAAATTCATGTGAGTTAAAAATATAACTACTGAAAATAAAAATTCAATAGATGAGTTAAAACAGTGGAAAATAAGCAACTAGAATATGTGTCTGACAAAATTAGAATAAAACACAAACAGATTAGAAAATTAAAAAATAAAGGAAGCTAGAAGATACATTACATAGCATGAAAAAGTCTAACATGCATCTTTATAGAATTCCAGGAGCAAATGGAAAAAAGTAAACTCCAAAAATAAGCACAGAGTAAAATGTTGTAGGAAGAAAGCCTGACCGTGTAATGGAACTCCAAACAGCCGAAAGCAACAGCAACAACAACATGCAGTGTCACCAGGGATACAGGGAGGTCATGACCGCAGGACCCTGATACAGCTGGCTGGTCACGTCACATCCCGTAGGAAGCAGGACCAAGCAGAGGGACGGGCACCCACCCCCCACTTTGATGGGGCCTCCTTGCCCCTAGTGACCTCAACATAATCCCTCACAGGTACTTCAGCAGCTGAACAAACCCTCCCTGGCCTGCCTGGAGACGCGTGTCTTTGAAGGGATCCCAGATCCTGGGCATTAGCACTGATCGTTGTAGAGTTCCACAGAACAGGGACAAAGTCAATAGAAAACAATCATCAATGTCAAGGGCCACGGCAGGTTGGTTTCACCCAACAGTGACTGTTACACACTCTAAAGCAAAGTTTCAGTCGGCCCCACTTAGAGCTTCCAACAGAGAATTTCTGAAAAATACTGGAATCTAACAGGGGGTGGGGGTGAGACACAGACAGCGATGAGCAAAGAATCTAGCAAGTGTACCGCTAAACATACTAGCCTGCAAACACACAGACGCTTAATAGTAATTACAAACTATTTGGCCTATTGCTCAGGCTTATTGCTCACTAGCTCCTATTTTTAAATTAAGCCATTTCTATTATTCTATGTATTGTCAAGGGGCTCGTGCCAACAGCAACAACACAGCCATATCTAAATGGATCTTACCCGACGTGCAGACGGCCACCGAAAACCTACACAGTAAAGAAGCTATTCCAATAGAATTGCTTAAGGCCTTTCCCAATGTGTGTGCCTTTGACACTTTTCCCGGTGTGTAAGGAGTTATTTATTCATTAGCTCATTTCACGCTCACCTCTTAGTGCCTATTTCACAGTGGCATACCTCATTAATTCCATATGAAGTTGCCCAAAGATATTTGAAAAGGGGGGCTCCATATTTCAGTGTGGAATAAGCATTTCAGACCTACACTTTACTGCTTTCTCCTAAGGAATGGGGCCACCATTACATAACATATAAGGAAGTTTCAGATGTTCATACGCAATAACCCTTGGAAACACTAGAAATTAATTCCACATGCGACACTGGCTGTTGCCAAGTTAGCTCCCGAGAAGTGTGATGGGGGTGATGGCTCTAGACTTTCCAACTCATTCCACAGATAAGCGCCAGCTGGGTTCTTATTTTATGTGAACCAGAAAAGTGACCAGGCAAGGCACAGAGACAAAGAGGCGTCTCCAGAAAACTGTACACCCCTGAATTCAGTCTGTGAGGCGGGAGGCTATCGACCCTGTTGGCATCTCAAAGCCCACTCTGTGCCTGAGGAGTAGGTGGGGGTGCGGCTCTCAGGAGAGAGAAGCCGGCGCCCCGGGAGACGGAAGGGGCCGGGTGCTGTGCAATCCAAGGGGAGGCTACAGAGGCAGCCGAAGGTCTGGGACCCTCTGAGCCTGCGGTCCTCTCCTCCCCGCCGAGACTTACGGGGAGAGGAGTGGGGCTCCCAGAAGACAACTCCAGGATGGACAGTGTGTAGGATGCCGGCAGCACGCGGAAGCACCGGAAGTACACCAGACAACTGACCTCAAGTGGCACAACCAGGGTCAGAGGTCAGCTTTCTGTGGAGAGAGCCCTCTGAGTCGGGAGCTCTGAGTACTCCTGACGTAGGAAAGAATGGGTGGTGCTCCTGAGGACTAATTCTCTTCTCCCACACTCTGGACTAGCTTGGTGTGGGGGTAACCGCGAGTGTGTTCCACACGGGACCAGCAAGAAGAGCTGGGGAGAGCTGAGCGGAGCCCCCAAGCGCTGACACCGCAGAAGAACGGCAGGACAGATGCCCCCCCCCCCCGCCGTGCCAGAGCCCCTCCCTAATGTGAGCGGCACAGCCTGAGAGAAGTATTGCTAGGAACACAGTGAGAGACAAACAAATCCCGACACAACTGGCACTGTAGATGGTAAAAGACACAGCGTAAATCTTCGAAATCAGGCGTAATTCATCCATCTCGGAATGAAAGGACTTCTGCTGGGCACGGGCAAACGACAATAACAATGTCTCCTTGGTGTAGCGCTGTCTGCCATAGTTTGCTTTCCCTTGCTGTCGCACCATGACCAAAGGTCCTTTAGGGGAGTTTACCTGACTTACTCATCCTGTCGCAGACCATTGCTGAGGGAAGCCGCGGCAGAGACCATGGGGGGGGGGGGGGGGGGGG